TATATTTATTCCTGATACACCTCATCATTCTGGCCAATTTAAAGGGATGGCCCAAATCCTTCAAGAACAAGGAATTAATGTTGATGGAAAACGTGCACAATACAAAGGTTTCAAGTGTGCTGACAAATCAGCACAATCAGTATGCTGCTGTCAATGAATTCTGTTTAACCAGCCAGATTTTCAAGCTCAAAAGTCTGCAATTGAAGAATTGGTAGAAGGCTATGAACACAAGGCAGTTTTTTATCCTAAATTCCATTGTGAATTGAACTTCATTGAACAGTGCTAGGGTTATGCTAAATTCAACTACTGGATGATGCCTGCCCCTACTACTGAAGCTCAAATGGAAAAGCATGTTCAAACATGCCTTGATTCTATTCCTTTTGATTTCTTTCAAAAGTAAGTACTTTAAATCTTTCTTTCTTACAAAATTGATTTTATTATATGTTTTGTAGGTATTGTAACCAGTCTGCTCAGTTCATAGATACATATAGAAAGGGGTTGACAGGAGCACAGGCTCAATGGGCAAATAAGAAATACCATGGCTATAGAATCCTTCCAGCTAGTATTCTGGCTGAGCTGTAAAACCATAATCTATATTTTTTTTTGTATTTACAAGTGCTAAAAAAAATGTCAATGTCCACTGCTCGATTTTTGCCATCAGGGTCCTTCCTAATGGGGAAGTGGCTGTGCTGTGACTGATGTGACATACTATGTTGAGTTTATACTTTCCTTACCTTAAGAGTTTGAAGGGGAGTATTATGAGATGATTAGTTCATTAACAGACAAACTACAAGACAATGACTTCATAATGTCTCAGTTAGAATACATACAATATAAGGACAAGAGACACTGAGCAGTCAATTGTCACCTCACCCCTTGTCTATGTGTGCCCCCCTTAAGTTCTCCCTCTTAACAAAACCAATCACTACTCTGCATCCTTGGTAGCTGCCTGCTAGTCAATCTTAAGGAAGCAGGAGAGCTGGGGCTCAATGAGGGAACAAACTATAGGATTAAGTCAGTTAGCCAAATGGAATTTGTTGGTGGAGCACTTGCTGAAGGTAATATTAATGTTGCCTTTCTTTAAAGTATAGCAAAAACTAATAAATATTTGGTTTGACAGAGTATGACATAGAGTCAGTTAATGCAAGAGTAGCTTGATACATTGCTTCTTGTACATGTACATACACATAGATATGACAAACAAAAGACAAATCAAAGTTTTGTAAATTTGGGGTCAACACCAGTTCCTTTAATCAACAAAACTATGTGGGTGATATTCTGTATACAAACAAGGAAGTTGCATAAACCCTTCAAATATTACATGATAATATTAATATGATAATAATATACATACTTAACGACGACTCATGGGGAGAAAAACTCATGTCACCAATGACGTTTGAGATGACGTCAAAGCCAGAAGCACAAGCAACACGACTGCCTATGATCTCCTATGATTGACAATCTATGGAAGTAGTGCGGCGGATGTGCAACTGAAGGCACACAAGTGGGAAGAAAATCGATCTCTCGTCTTAACATCAAAGAAAATGCACTTTGAATCAGTAGCAAACAAGTCCCTTGAACAACGGATCATTGCAGCAATATTATTTGAATAACCTCCGGAGTCTTGGAGAGACTTAGACTAGGACACCCGGGAAGGGAGGCACGACGGAGGTAAAGATGACGCGGATTTGAAATTAGAAGCATCCAAAGATGGTAATCCGAAGAGACCAATGAGTAACACGTTTTCACGTATTCATGGGAAAGATAAGCAAATGTACAGGTCTTGAACCGCCCGGAGACAGCGATCGAAGGTTGCTATGATGATCAAACCGGAGAATGGAGAAGAAAACTCACGGAGTGGAGACATCGAGAAAATTGCAGGGCCACCTGAGTGATGTATGACGAGGTGGAGGCGCTTAACACACAACAGCGTAGGGCGAGTTGTGAGGAGACTAGATAGATTATGCAGCAGTTGCAAGCCAGAGTAGCCTTTAGCCTTTACGACTCGTTGTATGGAAAACTCAGTGTTTAGTGAATTTGCCATTGCGAAGGGAGTCGAGACGTCGGCGCGGAGAAATGGACGTCTAAATGCAAATTGTTTTACCTTCCTGATAAGGCAGAGGCGCCAAGTGTCACGAGGGCGTCACATGCCCAAAATTAGCCTCGGGCGTGCCTCCTCTCAATTTCGTCTCAGTCTTTCTTTCTTTCTCTGTCTCTCCTCCTCCTCCCGCTCTCCCTCCCTCCGCTCCCTCCTCCTTCATCTCCTTTGGTCTCCACCTGAAGCATCTGGAGGAGGGATCCTAGCACGAAGTCGCGGTAGCTCGGCCTTCGGATCTTGAACAACACTTTGCTCCTTTCATACCGTCAACTGTTCACGCGCTCCGGACATCTGTCTTAACTGAGCTATTCAGTACTTTAGCTCGGCCGGTTTCATTCTTTAGCTCAGCTCATTACGCTGGGCTGTGGCCCTCTCTTCTTCCAATCCTTGGTCGGAGACGCCAGGATACCCAGGCGGGAGGAAGTGTTTGGTGTGTGAGGAGGAACACGGCGGCATTGATCGGGTCGGATTGCTGACGCCCGGTCGAGCATAGAGGTTGGTGACCTTCTTCGGTACGTCATCTTTGTCCCTTCCTGCTTCTCAGTCTGTTCTCGCGCTCGAATATTCTGCTCCTGCAAAGGCCATTGGCCAGCCAGCAAAGTGGGACATGTTGAGTACTATGTATGCGTACATTTACTCACGTAACATGCTTTGCTAGTTTTGCAATTTTTTCATCATCCTATATCTTCATTCCCCCGCTCATTTCCCTTGCAACGTCGAAGCACAACATTCTTTTTCACGGCGCTACAGGTCGCCTCCGAGCCTACTGTTGATCTCCACTGTCTCTAACACAGTGCACTAGCGGGGTTCAATATCCATCTCACAGGTCTAATTGCAAGTTGGTACAGTGGCGTACTCAACATCCTTACGATTTTCACGATTTCTCGGATACACACTCTTTCTTGCCCATAATTCTGAGCTGGATTTCAAATCGAACCGGTGAGTATCTCTTTCAGACCGAGCTGGAGTGTCACTGTCAGCCACTATGCTTTTGTCTCTCGGCGTCTCGTTCCCGACTATACATCACATATCTATTTCTCGTTTCTCATTTTTGGTCCATCTATTCCACAACTCTCTCTATATCCTATTCTTCGGCTTGCTCTACTGGTTCTGTGCTGGTACGTGGACGGGCAAGGATCCATTCACTATTCGGAAAAGAGCTGCTCGAGTGGTGACGACAGGGTGTCAAACTTATATTAATCATTTTGTTTCGCCCTTGCCTACACCACACATTTTAGGAGTTGTTTATCTTTACTCCCCATCCTGAGTCGGCACACTTTAAGCGGCTTGATTCTGCGTGTTTGTCTTCTAATAGCGGTTGCCAAAGCGCATTAATCCCCTTTCATCCACCCACCCTCTCTTGTTGTATTTTCTGGCTATATTGTTCTCCGTCTGGAACCACAGCGCTTACTCCGTATTTCTGCTTTTATTATAGGATTGATTCATTCCACAACTGCAACGCTTCCTGTACCATCCACATACAACCGAACATTGAATATCGACAAGCACTGACATGCCATACATCGTGCCGTCTACATCATCTTCGTCAACTTCTAACACTGTGACTTCACCGCACTCTCCTTCCCGTCCTCCAATAACTTTTTCCATGGCACTTGCCAGCCCAGCACCGGTCCCCGCACATACGCCATTCACACCCCCAGAGATCCCGTCGTCACCACCCCTTGCATCCTCGTCCGCATATAATGTCCAATCTTTTGGTGTCGGCTCCAGATACATGGATTGCACGCATCTACATCCACAAGCACCTCTACTTGTCAAAGCGCTCTCTGACACACCCACATCCACCGCGTCGAGCCCGTCGAAGGCGTTAGAATCTAGTTCAAGCCTCAACCCAGCGCAGTCCCCGCCTATGCGTCGTGCGGTTTCAGCCTCAAGTGCTTCCCCTACTTCAAGCGTGTACCAATTTACGAATACCGCTGGTAGCAGTCTTCCACGTATCCCCCGAAGACGTGGAGGAAGTGCAATGACTCTGAATGAGGTAGCACCAGTCGGCAACTCTCAACTGCTTAGCACACCCCCAAGAGGGCGAACGCGATCACGGTTTGTTCTAGGGGCGGAAGAAGAGAGTACAAGCGGGAGTGATGAAGAGCGCAGGCGAAGATATGGGGAAAGTGATGCAAAGGTGTCCGGCAAAGACGTTGAGGAACGTGTTTCCCGTAAGCGAAATATTAGTGCTGACCATTTAATGGCACTAAAGAGTGTCTCTTCTTCGACACCTCCACGTCAAATTACGACACCAGGATATGCTGAACCTGAATTCGATCACTCGGAGTCGGGTTCAGAATGTGCGACGCCGACGCAAAGTAGTATCTTGCGAGTCGGGCAGGCGAGAGAGAGGGAGAACGCATTCCCTTTCAAAGCAACAGAACAGGTCAAAAGACCATCAAACTTCGACGTCGGAGGACCAAACATGCATGGTGTCGTGCCGAGGGCTCGCAGAGGTCGTGGGAGAGGAAGTGCGCGAAAACTGATGTTTGGAAATGACCCAGACGAAGAGGTTTGTACTGGCAAACTGCCCGATTTCTCTGGTTGCTTATTTATACTTATTTTAGGATTCCGAGCGTAAGGAGGAGGTATCGACTGTTTCATTTCCTTCGTCAAATCCGCCAAGCCCTACACCAGCCATAGCGGTCGCTAACGCAACTCCGGAAATGTCACCTATGTCAGCCTCTCCGAAGGACGTCAGCCCAAAGAGCTTTACTGGCAAGAGGGAAAAGGCAGGCTCCCTACGTCTCGACTTCTCCTTTGGATGCAAGAACGGAGATACGACAGCTATTCACGCACGGGATCGCATTTCAGACGAGCAAAGATTTGGTCTCTCAGAGTCTGCATCACTAAACAGTGTACCTCTTATCCGCAAAAAGTCGGGGGAAGTTGTCAGGCCATCGCTTAAATCACGTTCATCGTCTGCGAATGCAGCTCGGCAGCGTCCATCGCTCTCCTTAGGCGACATCTCGTCAATTGTCACGTCCAGCCCAAGCGTTAGCGCACCAACCACTCCAGCATCAGCAAAGATGGTCCACTTCGATACACAGCTCGAGCATGTTAGGATATTCAAGTCAACATCTAAGCCCAAAGCTGTTAGCCGTTCTGGAAGCCCCACGTACGACGACACGACGAGCGGCGGAGAGGGTGACTCCGCATCTGAGGGCGGATCGTTAGCGCCATTCATTCCTCGCCCACGGCCGAAACGACTTGTACCTGGAGGCACTCAGAACGAAGAGGAAGAGGCTCTACGTCGTGTACTTATGATGCGTGTGCTTAACATGCCTCATCGACCTATGGAGATGGACGATGTTGATGTACGACTGGAGACTTTACATCTGGCGGATGATGCGTCTAGTGTCCAAGGTGTCGTGCGAGTACGAAACATCGCGTTTGAGAAGAACGTGGCTATACGTTTCACGTTCGACGGATGGCAGACAACGAGTGAAGTGCTTGGGCGTTGGTCCGAGTCATGTGTCCCACGAAATCCTGCTGCAATGGGAGCGTTGCCTAGACCAAGATCAGTTTCAACTCCCGTATCTGGAGTTAAGACAGATGAAGTTCCCGCTCCAGCTTATGATCGGTTTACTTTCTCCATCCGCCTAGCAGATATACTCCTGCGCATTGACGAGAAGACGCTTGTACTCGCTGTACGTTATTGTTCGGCGGGGCGTGAAATGTGGGACAATAACGATGGCCAAAACTATCGTGCTGTGTTTGAACGTCGTCCGCAACATTCACTCAAACTTGCTGGCTCAGCAGTCGTCCCAGCTGCAAGTCCGGACTCCGGAAAGGACAAGAGCAAGGGTAGTGAATCTGGAAGAAAGGAAAGCCGTGATGGTGGCACTTCGGTAGGTTCAACGACCTCGAAAGGTGGTGAACCCATTTCGCCTGCGAAGAAAGGCTCTGACCTTTCGTCACGCTATGACCTTGATGTGTCTCTGAAAAATCCATCAGCTTGGAGATCCACATTTGATCAACTCAAAACGTGGACGGCACATGGATGGCCTCGAGATAAGGAACATTTGCGTACACCTTCCATCAGACATAGCCCAGTGAAAGCATCTGCGACAACTTCTGATGACCTCTTCAATCCTCGTTCATTTGAAAGCTATAACCTGAACTTCGACGCGCGTGGGCTACCGCGTGGATCACCTCGAGACTTCGACCGTGAAGAGCCGGACGTGGAACGATTCAACCGAGCGCGGCTGGCAGTCTCAGAAAGCGTCAGCACTCTGGAGGGTGGGCCGTTCACACGCTATCCTGCTGGTTCCAATACGCTCGCCACTCTACCTATGAGCTGGATAACAAATGGTACAGAGACACATGTTCGAAACCATCATCGCTCATACTTTGATGCATGGGCATCGACGGCAGTCTCTTCTCCAAATTTCGGTGCTAGCAGAGTACGTCGAACGCCTCCAGGCACACCGACGGCAGTATCTGTCCATCGTACGCTTTCGGACACCACGATGGAGGTTTCACCCACGGGACAGTTGCCACGTGTGGTAATGACATCTGCAGAACATCCACCGGGATCATCACCTGGCCGATACCACTCTTTCCCGCCTCTCTTCCCCACTGGAGATGGCAACGTGGCTGCGGGCCTTGGCATTCTTGCTTCTCGGCCTTGGTCGGATTTGCCGCGCACGGTGAGACACGATACTGGCGAAAGCGACGTGTCGACGCCTTCAATAACTTCTGGCTCCTCGACAGCTATGACTGCGTCTCCTTTGTCTCCGCCTGACTTTTCGTCTTTGACGCCGACAACGCGTATTGGTCAAATGGCAGCCTCGGAAGGTGGTTCGATGGATGGAGCCGGCTATAACACCATCCTGAGCAGGTGAGTGCTGATGTTTTGCTTTCCTTTTCCTTGGTACTCATTTTTCGCTGGCGATTTTTTTAATACAGTTACTGTTTCTTCCGTGGAGCGGATCGTCAACTTGGTGTCCCAACAACAGACATGCGTCGTATCCACTCAGCGTCTGAGGTGGAAGAGCTACTGGCAACTCCTCCTCAGTCTTCAAGCGAAGCTTTCCCGCTGTTGAAGGGCTCCTCCAGGAGGCCAACAGCTTCAAGTTACCAACTTTCGACTCCGACAAGTTCTGCGGGATCTGAAAGTTCGAATCCTGATGACATGCCACCACCTCCGACTTCTGCTGAGCTCCTTGAGACAGAAAGTCCAATAGCCACGCCCGTTCATTGCTGACGCGTCTTTCGTGTTGCCCATAGACAAGCCTCCAGGCCTATGCGTGGAGATGTTGTTCGGGCACATTAGCCTCTGTATTTATCCGGCGGGCCGCATGACGTCCATTTACGATACACCTACGATAATTGCACGCCGACCAAAAACGCACGGCTCTTAATACCATTGAGCGCTTCTCACGTCTTATATTTCTTTCAGAGTATCTTATCAGATTTATTTCTTCATCATTGCTGTTGTTTCTCCTATCTTCTCTTATATCTGTAGGTATATATGTACAAATACCACTGGTCCCGACACACTACCCCTCGCACTCCCCACTTGATTGATTTCTCCCCTTGTCCTGTGTTTTCCTCTCCTTACTTTCATTCTTTCACACCTGCGTCGATATTGGATATCGGATACGCGAACATTCATCCCATATCTCTGTAGTCGTAGTCATAAGCATAGTACACCCTTTTTACTTTTTGATTACTGTTTTAGTATAATGCGAATGTGATCACGAGTGGAATTTGATAATGCATACGACTTGCAAGGATCCGTCACGCTTGCTATAGCAGCTTATTAGAATAGGTACGAGCTGTGTGCCTCTTTCACAACGATTTTACTACCAGGCGCGAGTATTGCATAATTCAATGCAACATGTCAATATCAAGGGCCAGTATGTACACATTGAGCGTCAGTAGAAACCAGCTGCCTTGTATTTTCGTGACTTAATTTCCATCTGAACTGCTAGAACAGATGAAGATTGTAACAGATATTTGCAAGCAAGATAACCTCTGGCAGCACATAGGTTTGGCCTGCTAAAGACTAAATCCGACTTCATAAGTCTATGTTATCTAGCATCAAGCACATGCCACCGGGAAATCGCACTGTTGGACTGGTTGTTGATGCTAGAATCCATTGCCAAAGTTACTTTACAGACACAGGTCATGTGAAGGATGGAGAATTAACAACTAAACGGCACAGGACGCGCGTTTCTACGCATCCTCTACAACCTCTACGCGACTCTCCATCTGCTCTTCTATCTCCGTCGTGTCAAGGTCAACAGGCGTACTCGATGGTCCGATCTCCAAATTATCTAACCCCATCTCCCGGATCATCGACATATGCTTGGGAGCCAAATCGCCAACTCCATCAACGTATACCTTCACTGGTACACTTCCCGCTTGTTCGCTATCTTTCAGTACCCTGGCGAGAACCTCGATATCGAACGCATAGCATTCCAATAACACGAGCGACTTCAAACCATTCGGACCTAGCACGGGAACAAGACCACGAATGATCGTATCGTCCAATAAGCAGTCTTCGAGCCAGAGGCCTTCCAATGTAGGAGTGAAAGCAAGTGCGGAAAGGAAGTCAATATGGAAGCAGTCAATCGACTCGAATATGAGATGCGAGATTGGTGATTTGTTCTGCTGGAGGAACTGTACCAAGTGTCTCCATTCACCTCCACCCTCTACTTCGGGCAGTCGACCTGTTAGTTCAAGTTCGCGCAACGAAGGCGCATGGAGCGCGTCGAGTAATGGTCCTGCATCAATCCAATCTAACCATGACATGCTGAAGCTTTGGAGAAACTGGAGTTGGATGCTGTTCGGTTCGAACGCTTGGTGTTCGACGGATTCGTAGTCGATATGAATGCTGCAGTGTACGAGGAGCGGGAACGAAGAGAGGATACGCATGGCTTCTGAGACAGAGAGGTTCGTAAAGTCATGCATGTCCTTGAGTATAAGGAACGTAAGTGACGATGACCAAGAGAGATACGGCTCGAGCACGAATGAGCCCACTGCAATACGCAGAGCACGGAGCGTTACCAAGGACTCCGTGGGTGAATTTCGAGCAGGTGTGTTGGCGAGTTGCATATCTGACACAGTGTTGTCTTCAAGAGTCTGTGACGACGCCTCAGGCCGTGCAGACCAGAAATACCACTCTTCGCGTGTTGGCCGTTCTTCAGTACTAGACGCTTCTAAATGTGTTGCGAGGAACGAGTCCGCAATAGACTCCGGAGGTCTATACTCCCTCGCCTTGTTCACAAGTAGCTCAAACAAGTCAAGTACAGACCTATAATACGACCAAACATCGACAAAGTCAAAATCAATGAAGATTGCCCGAGACTTTGATCGTTCCAGATAAATTGTCATAAGTTCAAGAGCTGGCTCGATTGATTCTTGTATTATCTTTATTTTCGTGTACGTCCAGAGCTTGGGAGAGTGCAAGGTAACTTCTCGCCAGTGTTTGCAGACATGACTGAGCCTGAGCGCCATGTGTGGATCGCATGATTCTTGATCATCTGCTGTAGGTGCGCACCAGTAGAAGATCTCAGAAAGGACTTCTGGTGGTAAGCTATTCAGACGAGCACCGAGAGCCTTCTCTTCTTGAATTCGCGAAGACAGAGAAGTGGCTTGGGTTGACTGAGAGGCTGCTTCAGCTTCATTATTAACTAGTTCAGATAACTTGTGATGTTCTGCTTGCTGATCCGTGCACCAGGTTTGGGGAATTCGCATACAACAGTGAACAAACGAGTGACTTTTGAGTTTGCTGAGAGTTCAGCTAGTTTGTCTGAATTCGTGTGTGCATGAATAAGAAGAAAAGAAAACATGAACATACGAGTGGTAATACTCACTAAAGGAGTGACTAGGGTGAGTCCGGGACTGAGAAGGATAGATGTTGAAGGAGAAGTGGAAGAGTTATCCTGCGTACAATGGAGCAAACTACTAGGGGCCTATCGGCACATTGGACGCTGCACTCGGAGGCATGGGGGTAGTTTGCATGTTGTGAAAAGTAATGTGCTGACGTCAGCATATATATGCACAAGAGCCGAAAGTGCAAAGCTGGACTCAGACGAGAGTATCAGATTACTAGAAGCACGAGGCTAAACAGCGTGCTATTTCTGGATATCATAGGATATTTCTCCAGATGGAAGATGGGCCTTGATCATCTAGATGATGCTAGTGCTAAGTGGATAACATGAGGCTAAGAAAGGCGTGACGGCTGTGTCACGGAGCATGCGCGTGGTGAGCGTGACCTGGCGGAAGTGGCAACAGAGAACAACAACAGGTCTCTCTTACTTACCCGACCTCGAGGCACGCATCTCTGTCCCTGTCCTCCACCCTCTCTCTCTATCCTCTGTCTCTTACTCTTCAGTGGCGTATTTGGTAAGTTCTCCCCTCGCAAAGCTTCTTTATCCAACTTTCGCGGAAACGGCAATCGTCATCGGTGCAAAGTAGCACCCGAATCAGTCACTTGACTTGCGCGCTTCGCTTGGACTTCTAGCAGACTTGTTGCGACGGATTTAAGCGGATGCATGGCTTTCGGCTTGGTTGGGTGTGATATCTGTCGTCGGGAATGAAATCGCATGGATGCATATGTCAAGGATTGTTCTTCAAATCGAGGCGACAAGCGGCGGCGTTGTTGTCATGATGCGTTCATAGGCGTTTGCCCGGCGTCTGTTTAGATCTCGGCTTTTATCTGTCCTCCTCTCCTCGCGTTCTCGTCTTTTTTGCTAAGAAGTATCTGGTCTCTAACTTTTGCTTTTAGATCAGTTCTACGGAAGTTTCATAGACCTCGGTCAAGTGTGAGCGAAAATGCAGACCATCAAATGTGTCGTCGTGGGTGATGGTGCCGTCGGAAAGGTGCGTTTTGGGGTTATATTCCATTTTGTGCTTGCAACTCATTCTGTCGTTCCAGACCTGCTTGTTGATATCTTACACAACTAATAAATTCCCGAGCGAGTATGTTCCGACTGTAAGTCCACGTTACGCCTTTCGCATTCATGTGTCTAAGTACTGCTGGCCGGGCTCTATTAGGTGTTTGACAATTACGCGGTGACTGTCATGATTGGTGATGAGCCTTATACCTTGGGTTTGTTTGATACTGCCGGTACGTCCATCAGTTGTATTGACTACAATATTATGACATTTTTCTCACCACTGCCATAATACCAGGCCAGGAGGATTATGACCGGCTTAGACCTCTCTCGTATCCTCAGACGGATGTTTTCCTTGTTTGCTTCAGCGTAACATCTCCGGCATCATTTGAAAACGTCCGCGAGAAGTGGTTTCCAGAGGTGTTCCATCATTGCCCTGGTGTCCCGTGCCTTATCGTCGGAACGCAAATTGACTTACGCGACGATCAGAGCGTACGTGAGAAGCTCGCACGCCAAAAGCAAGCACCTGTTTCGGAGGAAGAGGGTAAAAAGCTTGCAAACGAACTTGGTGCAGTAAAGTATGTCGAGTGCTCTGCACTCACACAGAAGGGGCTGAAGAACGTTTTTGATGAGGTGTGTACCTTAAATGAGTGCTATACTATCTCCTACTTACGTACCACGTGTACATAGGCTATTGTGGCAGCGCTGGAACCGCCTGTAGTGAAGAAGAAAGGTGCAAAGTGTGTCGTCCTTTAAGGACGTATATTTTGTGCCCGCCATACGTTTTTCTGCACCCTTCCACGTACCCAACAAGTCCTAGCCATTGTATCTCCGTTAATGACTGTCACTCCGTCACGACCGGCACATTCGACTCGACGTTATCTCTTATCTCATATACCGCCCTTTCCTCCACAGAGCTCGCTCATTCCATCATCGCCTCTCTTGCCTTTATATTGCCCTTGCTTTTCTTCTTTACGTTCTGTTCGTACATTACTGTTTACAATGCCTTCTTTGCCTCTGTCATCGGCCTGCGGCGCTGGTTGAGAATTTTGGGCTTCGTCCGTGATAAGTCATTACGCAGAGACGTGGGGTGAAACACGGGGTGGGATGGTGTGGTCACTAAGACGTAAGACATTGTGTATAGTACACGGTCTAGGGTATAAGACTGTGTGGATGGGTTGAGCTCACTTGTAGAGAGAGAAACATTAGAATTGATTTGATACGCTCTGTATGTCCCACCATACCCTTCTACATCACTCTTTGTTGACAAAGATGCTGTGCGGGTACCGTGCATTTTTCAAATTTGGATCCCTTCTGTAATTCTTTGCGTTGCGTTGCTGGAGGAAATTAAAACTACTGAATTTTCGCTTTATCGGCCAGTGTTTTCGAGTTACGGAAATTTTGTGGCGATCAGTGTATTGATGAGACAGAATTAGACCCGTCTAAGATGAACGAACAGTTAATTCATTTACGAAATTTATTAATGAACATCTCTTGGCTTCTGGTGTCTTTACTTTGGCTTCGCGGCAGTACAGGAATGGTGATGTTTGGGGACTGCCGTAATTACTAATTGGTGTTAGATTACAAGGGCTGATAAGCACCGAAAGACCTATAACAGTAAGATACTGATTTGGTATGCATGTGAATTAGTGATAGGTTAGTGAAGACCTGGGAACATGTGTTAGATTAATTATTGCTTCACAGTGTCATAAACAGTGCGGATAAAATGGATATACTGCAAAATTTATCCGGTACACAGTGAAAAGACAGGGTACAACAGTCCATACATCGGAAATGAAATGATAATCTAAAAACGTGGCAAAAATACAGGGGGACGAAGTCTGAGAGAATATTTAGAATGCATCATGGAGAATACCTCAATTTCTGAGTCAACCGATGCATGCACAAGGTATAATACTGAATTGTTATACATTGTAATGAAAGCTTTGCTGTAAGAATACAGTGGCGCGGAACGTATCGTGTTGAGGAGAGAAGTCTGAAGAAAAGAAAAAAGAAAAACTTAAGTTACACCAAATGTTAGAACGAATAAAAGGGAAACATGACGAGTGTCAGAAAATCGGGTCATGATATGAGCACTTCGGATGCCTCTGGAATGGTGAATAATGAAGGTGCTTTGGAGACTGTTGATTGGTGATGAACACTTCGTGGAGGTGTGGCAGCAAATATCCGAGTAATCCATTGTTGATGAGTTGTAGAGGTGGGAGGAGATGTAGGTAGGGTCGTGCGACGGGATTTTGAGGTCTGTTCAGGAGGCGACGACGACAATTCTTTAGGACCAGAGAGGATGAACGAGTTTGATGGATTTTGGGAGGGGATTGGGACAACGAAGGAGGGAGAGGGTCGAATTTTCGTTATAACATCCGAATGCGTGGATCCCTTCGTCTCGTGCCTAATTACAGTGTGATTCTGCCGAGAAGCATCCTTTGCTTGGCCACTACGAGTCGTTGCAGATGACTGACTCCCAGACCGAGAGCTTCGACGTCCAGACGAGCTAACGCCCGCAGCATGATGAATGAACTCTCTCGACCCAGACCTCTTCTCCTCCCGCTCTCTCTCCGCACAAGTAGCTTTATCAAGCAACTTCTGCAACGTTCCTTCCACTCGACGCATTCTATTCACGACTCGAGGGTCAGAGGTAACGTGGGGAGTGGCGTTTAAGAATGCACGAAGCGACCCAAGCTCGGCAGCTCGTCCACGCAATTGAGTGCGTGCGGCTTGTGGGTCGTGTGTTTCATTGAGAACTGTTTTGATTCGTTGCTCGAGACGGTTGAGTGCCGTAATGGCGCGATGGGCACGATAAAATCGTTGAATTCTGATCGCTGCTTGTGCATGCGTAACGACTCGTTTTTGCTCACACTGTGCAGTGTGCTTGATTTAAGACCAGCCGAAATATGAATAAAAATACAACAAGCACGACACTATTGTTCAAACTTACAATTTTATTACCCTCCTGAGTGCCCTGTCGACCCATTTTGTAATCGTGTTTCAAATGGGCCTGGGTCTTTCGCACACACAGACGGGAATAAGGAGTCTCTAGTGAGGCGGCGGCAACAGATAATGAAAGGCGCACAAGCGTTAGCGCTAATCTATCAGCGTAGCGACCAGTCGATAGAAATGCCAAGTTCGGTGCAATCACCAAAGTCAGACAAATGCTCCACAGCGCTCAAGGCCACGTTCTTGCAGGCTAGGTGAAATGAGAGTATACTAGCAGCTCCACAGATTTACACTGGAGGCTGGCGGGAAGCGTAGATCATAGACAAGGTAGAAGTCAGCGCAGGACATGGAAGAGAAAGACGAAGTCGAAATTAGGGAAGGGTAAGTGGTAGTGATCTTATAGGGTGTAGCGGAGGCGTGAATGGGGCCGGAACGACGGAGGGCATCGTGGGGCCCCGCATATATCATGGTCTATCTGCCACTCATCCGACACGAGACTCTGCCAATATCGGAAGCAGTACTAGTAATGCTAGGACATCCCTTCTTTCCTTCTCATGACCTGTTTCACCCGGTAGTGGAGTTACAATTTCTATGCGCCGAAATGACTTGTTCGCGTCGGCAGAATCTGGCGTTCACTGAGTTGGGATGAAGTCATTTGGCGTGCCGATGCGCACGCGATGATCTTGTCCGTCCGACTTGCCGTTTTCAGTTCCTCGCACGTGCTCCATCACCAAAACGTGCAGAGTCTGACAAGGCAATATATTTACATGTAGACTTTATAAGCGAATATAAGGATCCACAATATGTAAAAAATATATGTCTTAGCAGTAAATTCCAATACATTTTCGTGTTCGATTTGGTGATGTCTTCACTCCTCTTATTTATTATTTATTTGTAACATTAACATCTAATACATAACAAAGAAAGAGTATAACAATAAACAGAAGGGTTCTCTACATAACGTTGGACTCAAGGAAACCATTTCATTGAGGCCTTTACAATTACTTTGTTATTTACTCCCTCGCTTCTGTAGTTTCTTGTGCGCCCCGTGATGACGAAAGCAACCGAGCCGCAAGAACTTGGGCCAAATATCAATACTGTATCTTTTCCTGGTCAGTGGCTTTTGGGCGTATTCGTGCAGTATCTTCCACACGACATCATTCGTGGTAGTAGCATCAGGAGTATTTGCTACAAAACTTAGCAGGCATTTCCAATCAAAATCTTTGCCTTTTCCTAACATATCAGAAGGAGGCTTGGCCTCTGAGACTGTAGTTCAAGTTAGAGTCAGTGTAAAGCGCAACAAACACATATATACGAAGGGCGAAAGATAACTCCACTGGGTGAGAGAATAATTACGTACTTGTAACCAATATCTGTTGATTGTTTTTAGGACAGAGCCATAAATCAAAATCCTTGTCTTCATTACTCTTTTTTAATTCTGAGATGAGTAATGAATACAGAGGTAAACAGTGTCCAAGAAAAGATGGGAATTATACCTGCCATGAGCTCTGCATATTTTTCTTCATCGTCTTTGGAGAATTTGATGCCCTTTATCTCTGCTCTCTCATGGTAATAGTCAGAGCCCTTTACCCAATGAGCGCTGGAGATACCAGCATTTGCTATATCAGCCACATCGGACGAACGTTCCATCGTCCAGGGATCACTATATCTGTGAATACTGTAGCATTAATAGGCCATGTCTCATTGTGGGGTTGTACTTTATGTTGGTGACAACGTCCTTTGACGGGGCAATATTGATTTGCTTGGGATTAGTTTGCGGCCAAGCCATCCGATAGTATTACCATTTGAAAGGGCCTATGTGCATAGTGCTCCCATACGAAGAAGTGTGATTCGGTTGAGAAGCAATGTTGACAATGTGAGCGTCGTTGAGGGTAGAGACGGCCTTGTTCAGTGACAGAATTTGAATGAACAGTTACATTCTAGACCCTGGAAAGTCGCACTGAGTGGAAATAACGAGACCGCCGCACTTATCGAAGTTGATACAGTACTTATCGGCTCAAATATTTTATGGCAAGATATAGCTATATGCATTTTGTGTACTGTAGCAAAGTCCAAGAAATGCCAGCTCTTGGGTCTTGAATAGTGGAGACTGAAAGACTCCTGACCTGAGTATCGTCGAATGGATTCTCACGATTCGTCACGTGCACTGAGAAGATCCGTCTGCAAGCCAGAAATGACCACGACTGCCAAAGAGACGACCAAGACGACGACGACAAGCTCCGCTCTCTCGCAATCATCATGGCTGGTGAAGCTGCAGTAAGCTACGACTATCTCTTCAAGGTGCGTTGCATCCATCAGTCATATCATATCAATATCTCTGACAAATCGTAAAGGTGGTGCTAATCGGTGACTCGGGTGTTGGGAAATCGTGAGTGTGGCCTGCCCATCAAATTCCGCATATGGTATTGATAAAGCTTGCTTTTGTCGCAGAAATTGTAAGGCTACTGCTCGTATAGCATAAAAGGATCATTTTGACGATGAAGGAATAGTGCTTTCGCGTTTTACACGCAATGAATTCAACCTCGACTCAAAGTCCACGATTGGCGTCGAATTTGCCACGCGGACGGTTCAGGTGGACGGAAAGACGGTGAAGGCGCAGATATGGGATACTGGTAAGTGTCTTCTGAATTTTCCATTGTCGTTGGCCTTCGCGTAGAAATCGCGCACTCGATGGATCCGCCGATACTTGGAGTGTGGATATGTACTAAATTCCTTGTACCTAACAGCTGGTCAGGAGAGATATCGCGCCATCACATCGGCGTAAGTAATCATGCATTACAATACTCAATTGTGCTTGTCGATGACCTTGACATGCAAAGTTACTACCGCGGTGCAGTCGGTGCATTGCTCGTATACGACATCGCCAAACAGTCGACCTTCGATAACGTCCAGAGGTGGTTGAAGGAACTGCGGGATCATGCGGACTCGAACATCGTCATCATGCTTGTAGGAAACAAGAGTGACTTGAAGCACCTAAGGGCTGTATTGACTGACGTTGCACAGTCATTTGCTGGTACGCAATATTAATATTAGTTCGTTTCTTAGAGCTTTTGGCTAATACCGCCTATGAGAACAGAGGAGAATAATTTGTCTTTCATGGAGACATCAGCGCTCGACGCTTCGAATGTGGAGGCGGCTTTCCAAAGCATCCTGACTGGTACGGCATCATCTTTTCTTTAAAGTCCTTTGCCTCTCTAAATTCGGTTGTCGGCCCGAAGATATTTACCGTATCGTTTCTGCGAAGGCCTTGGACCAGAATCAAGGACCTGGTCTCACACCCGGGCCGAGGGAAACTATTACTGTCAGCAAGAGTGAGGAGAAGAAGAACGGAGGCTGCTGCGCCTCTAATTGAAGGGATGCGCTCGTTCTTGTTTTGTGAGACAGCTGGACCGCTGGTGTGGACCAGAGGTTCATTGTGGACGTAGACGTCCTGATGTCTCTCGTGTAGAGATGGATTTTGTCGTTTATTTTCCTCTGTTACTTTCTTCGTTTAATGTACCTTCTTTTCCCCTTGAGTAGCAACGCTTCCGCACAAAATAGTGAACGTCAAAAAGTTAAAACAATCCACTAGAGCGCTTACGTGATGTGGCGACTAAGCACGTCAGACAATTAATAAATTGCGCGATGTAACAGAATTAGTATATTTGTCTCACGCGTAGCAAGTTTTACTGTATTAGATCTAGTACTTACTATAAATAGTTTAGTTTTTTATGGCTAATCATCGGACTCTAAAAGATGTGGCACAGTGAGTGTTGTTCTTACTATATAAAGTCATTACTATATATATTGCATATATCACCATCCAGCTGCTCAGTCTTCTGCATTCCAATTTCCTCTTGCTTGCCACTACTACCATGACTGTTAGCTATTCAGATGGATTTGGGACACACTCAGTGCACACAGGTTCCGCACCTTCACTAGAAACGGGTGCTGTCATTCCTCCTATTTCTCTTGCAACAACATATGAGCAGTCTGCTGTCGGGGTGCATAAGGGTTACGAATATACCCGGTCGGGAAATCCAAATCGCGACCAACTCGAGGCACTTCTAGTAGGCATTGAAAAGGGCGGACAGTTTGCTCTTGCGTTCGCCTCTGGGTCTTCCACGACAGCGACGGTTCTCCAGAGTCTCGGACCCGACGCGCACGTTCTGAGCGTCAACGATGTTTATGGCGGAACCTTCCGCTATATGACCAAAGTTTCGAACTTAGAGACGTCTTTCATTGATCTGGAGAAGGAAGACGATGAAACGATCTACGCTGCAATAAAGTCTAACACGAAAGTAAGTACAAGACCCATAGGTCCAGGTATTTTTACTCATGCATTTCTTCCAGTTAATTTGGATAGAGTCCCCAACAAACCCTACTCTACGTTTAATCGCCATCCCTCGCATCGTCGCAATTGCACGCTCGCATCCTTCAAGACCCCTCGTTCTTGTAGATTCGACATTTCTCTCTCCATACTACCAGTCTCCTCTTCTAACCGGAGCGGATCTCGTCATGCACTCACTATCCAAATATATCAACGGACATTCAGATGTCCTTATGGGAGCGCTTATTCTTCCAGAAAGACACACAGAACTTGCCCAACGTCTTCGTTTCTTGCAAAATGCCATTGGCGCTGTCCCCAGTGCGTTTGACTGTTGGCTTGCTCAACGAGGAGCTAAGACGTTATACCTCCGTATGCGTCAGCACGGTCAGAGTGCTTTGCGCATCGCTCGCTTCTTAGAAAGTCGTATAGGCAACGAAGTAAAGGACGTTATTTACCCTGGTCTTGCAAGTCATCCTCTAAACAATGTCGCGTATGAGAGTTTGAGTCCTCACGCACGCGCGTGGGTTGATAGTATTGGAGATCGTGATCTGGCTGGTGGTTTCCCTTACGGTGGGATGGTCTCGTTTCGGATTACGACGCCGGACACAAAGACATATGGGGGCAAGGCACATGCAACAGCTGAGAATTTCCTTAAATCGCTACGTCTTTTTACGCTTGCCGAGTCGCTTGGTGGTGTCGAGTCCCTTGCGGAGTTACCATCTCTCATGACACACAACTCCATCCCAACTGCTGAACGTGCTCAACTCGGAATCGGTGATGACCTCGTTCGACTAAGCGTTGGTGTTGAGGATGGTGACGACTTGGTGCGTGATATCGAACAGGCTTTGCAGGTTGCTGTATACGGCGATTCAGTAGAGACAAAGACAGACGGTAGAGACGAACAAGTTTATTCAAGTGCAAGCAGAGATGATTCTCCGCCTCTCGTTGGTTAGGTTATGGTCTCTTTCTCAAAGGTTGTCTTGGACAATCTATAGACAGGTACGATTGTGCTTAATTTATTATTTCGTAGAAGTCTTTGCAAGGAAAGTTGTTGTTGCTTTCTTGTTTTAGTCTTGTATAATAATAGAATATATAAATGGTTTTCTCCAGACTGAAGATGTATACATTGCCAAATTCGAGTGTCACTTGCCTGCTCATTGTAGAAATCATGTAAATTCAAAAAACTCTTCAGAAAGACTTTACACATTCATCTCATCCCTGAGTGATTTACTCAAGCTCTAGTATCTATAATATACCTATTGTTCAGTTGTAATCCTATCCTATACCCTTAACACCAGAACTGTATTATAAGATTCTATAGCCACTCTCTTATACTTTGACTTACCCTCCTTACAATCATTTATGTACTTGTAAACAGTTCTAGCAAAATGGGCCCTATCTGACTTAGGTAGAAGCAGCTATAACATGGCTTACTATAGTATCAACATTAATTACTCTTTAATTTTCTTTATCTTTAATATTTTATCTTTTATTTTACTAATTTCTGAGACAAGGGATTATATACTGAGCCTACAGGAGCTTCTTACACCTTGCAAGTCCTTTCTACAGTCTTGTATGTCTGGCTAATCTTCTGTTTGCTTAATTAGGCAATAGTTACCTCTTTAAATATGATAAGCTTGTATTATGTTTTTTAAGCCTGTATAAGCTATTTACTCAATATTCCTTGTTTTCTTTATCTCTTTTTACCTTTCTGTGTTTTGTTCATTGTCTTGTACTTTTATTCTTCTTTTTATTTTGTCTCTAAGTGTTATGGTTCTCTACTCTTGTACCTTCAGTTCTAAGGGTTCTGCACCCTTCTGTACCAGAACTCAGGACTTCTGTCCCTCAGGGGTGCTGTCTATGGACTATATACATACTGACTCTTACTACTACCCTTCCTTACTTTATCATTCTATTCCTTTGACCACCCCTTCATTCTTTGTTCATTCTATAGTCTCTTACCCTTTGTCTATCCCTTCATTCTTTGTACCTTTATCTTTGACATTCCTTTCTTTCATTCTTTGTAGCTTATCATTCTTAAGTGGCTCATACTCTCTGAGTACTCTTGTATAGTTTAGTATATATAGGCATACAAGATCAGACTGGTCCTATAGTCTTGATCTTGTCTACTCTAGGTAGTCCTGTACTCTTAGGCTCACTCTATATACTCTACTCTTGTCTCACTCTCTCTCTCTGCCTGTTCTGTAAGTTCTGACTATGTTCTAGTGCTTGTATTCTGTATTTCTGTTGTGTAGGATAGTTGTAGCCTGGGTCCCCTTGCTAAGCCTTCAGGTTCCTTCTATACTGTTACTGACATCAGATTAAGACTACCCATTATCACCCTACAACTCTCCTACATTTTGAGCATTAGTACTCACTGTTGTGTTAATCTCTTTTCTTTGTCCTAACCCTTTTACATTTTTAAATTTTAAACTTTCTAAACCCTTTTAAACTTTTGCCACCCTTCTTCTATTCATTACCCCTTTTAGTTTAGTACTGATTCCTTTATAGTGTAAACATAGACTCTCCTACACTGACTGCCACCCCTACTGTCCTACTAGATTAGTAGTTATGAGTAGAACTAGCTTAATATGTATAGACCTCTATCTAAGAGGCCTTTACCAACTATGTGCCTCCAGCCCCTTCAGAACCTGTTCTAATTGTTCTAGAAGTTACAACCTGTTCTAGAAAGAAAGTGTATGTAGCCTACTCTTCAGACTT